GAGCTGCTGCATCACAACAGCTTAAGTGGAGGAGTCTGGATGTTTGGATTGCACCATTCTGCTGTACACTGTGTTTTCTCCCCTACAATAATCTATGGACTAGTTGCCATAAACCTGCAGTTAGGTGCTAAAATGGTGTCTCTTGGTCAGAGGAGCAGTCAGTACGTTAAGTTCTGTTTGGTTGACTTATGTTTAAGCCCTAGAGCAGTTTTCTTTTGTAAATGTATTGGTAGTTGTTTTTTTTCTATCACTTTTTTCTTGTTTTGTTACATAAATTACACAAAATTAAGGTAAGTTTTTCATTATAGCACTCATAAATTACTCCTATTAAATATTATAATATAAATATAATAAGAAATACCAAGACAGAATATATATTTTTTTAAATCGTTGGGAAGAAAACGCATATATATTCTTGAATATGCAGTCAAGGCTAAAACATATAATCTAAGCAACATCTATATGACAGTGTCAACAAAACCTGAACTTTACAGACATTCTAAATGTAGATACATAGAAGAAGCAGTAGCATTGGATTGAATCAGCTTGTATAAGTGTACTTAATAAACTGGCAACTAGGAGTAAGAATATAATAATGCATATAAATAATTTTGAATTACTGTGCCTTTCTAGACACTCAAGGACACCCAATATATCATAAATAAACACATTAATTAATACTTGACACAAGAGTATTTAAAACGTAGAAACAAAGGTTAAAATCATTTTCATATCTTTGAATCTCTAAAATATCAATTTCTGAATAGGTTACATTCGATTTCCATGTTTTTTGGAAGACGACTCGTTGAGAGAGGAAGAGAAAGAGAGAGAGAGATTTGAGTTTTATTTATTCAGTTCACAACCGGTCAATGGGAATTTAACTAGTCCCCAGTTAAAACAGGCGCAGTGATGGTTATGGAGATTTACGGTTTAATATGTGAGGGAGCATCACTACTCCGCTTCATCTCATTTCTGTATGTTTGTAATGCTTCAGTGGCAGTGATTGGATCAGCTCTCTTCAAGAGCAGCTACTTCTCATAAAATGACCGGCGACCACTAAACGATATGAACTGAAAGCCACAATAAATCAGGGTACTGAGGATGAATCCTGATCGTTATGACCAGGGTGGAAATACTGGACGTGACTGAGGAGAAAGAAGTGCTGACAAGACACTCGCTGTGCGAGGGAGTTCGTCATTGCACGCGCACACACACACACAGTGAGCGAGCTGCTGACGCATTGTGCACATGTGTAAGAGCGAAAGGTGATGACTGCTGACGAGACTGCAGTGTTTCATGAACAGCTGTTACGCACGCAACTGACATATTGAGACACATCATTCTATATGTGTCCCCTCTCACAAGGTGATAACCAGCTGTGTGCTGCATTTTATTTGACCAAAGACCTAAACCCTAACACCCCACTGTCGCTCGGGTTTGACTTTCTTTGCATGTCCTTGCGGATGGTGTGGATGCAGCCAGCACCCCCTCCCCCTCTCTGCTTCACTGGTTCCCCTTCACCCATGTGAGTGATGTGACCTTCTCAAAGCAAAACTCCTGGTCTCTGTCCCAAGCCAGCCTACCACAGCAGGCGCGGAGAGCCGAGACGCATACTAACAAGGCTGGGGGTCATTTCTCAAACTGCTGGGCCTCACAGCTTCCATCAGAGGAAACATAAGAAGATGCTGATAGTTCACAGCTTCGTTATCTATACAGCCAAACCACTCAAACTAGTGATCTCAGCTTAGTCACAAAAACTGATATATGATTTATTGGACACTTAGCTGGTCTTTATCTATTGTTAGTAAATTTAAAAAAACATTTTTAAAGCCTGAAAAGGGTCAGAAAAGTGAATTCATCTCAAAGGTATTAGCTGGTGCCTTTCACATGTCATTTGACTGTTTTCACTGGATGTCAGATTTAAAAGCTGTTTGGTGATCAGGCTGTAAGCTCAGGGCTTCCTAACACTAAGCCATTATTCAGGCTACGTTCCAACCATCTGGATGATGACTGCTCAGAGAAAATACCGCCTTTGGCTTTTTAGCTGCACTGATCAGATAGCAGCTGCATCTTTGTATATACATACTTCATTAAATGGCTCATGAAGGGTCCTTCAGACATTCACACACATACTGTGACCTCCAACAGTATTCCGCCCTGTTGCAGAATTGTATGAAGCCAATACAATAAAATATTCTAACTCTTTATCAGGCCATCGAAAGATGTTCTCTGCTACTTCACTGGTTCAGTTATGACCAGTTCAACCGAATCTGTCTCTGTATCACAGCAGAAACTCCATCGGCTAACTGTCCGAACAATGAGGATACATCACTGCAGGTTTCCCACTGAGATAGTAGAAACATGTCGCAGTATGAAAACCGCAGGAGCACTGTTGACATCACTTACTCATTTGCCTGTCACCATAGCTGATGGCTTCTGCCAGAGGACTCCATCCCTGTGCGTTCTTTATCTTTACAGGTGCATTGTGGGCCAGCAGGAGGAGGGCACATTCTGAAAGAAAGATTTGAAAATGATCACTGATATTCTGTGCACACTCACCATTTTTAAATTTTTCTTATTTTGAGCAAACAACCTTTATTTTAAAAAAGAACACAACAAGGAGTAAATGTCGAGCTTTTAATATTTAACTTTGTAACACAGTCTGGATAAAAGATGTGCACGATTTAACAGATGAATAAACTTTAAGTGATAATAAACCTAGAACTCCTGTTCACTTAGATGATTCATTACAGTCAGCATCAGCTACTGGCAGCTATGACTTCTTTCTGGAAGACGGATCCAGGCGTTGATGCTTTTCCTATTTGCCCGTGTGAGTTCTTTGTGCATTTATTTATTTTCAGCTTTTAGAGTGTGTGTATAATACAAATAAAATAATAATAACAAACAAAGAGTAAGTAATTGTTTATGAATGCCAGTCTAGATATGCTGTATGTCCACTGTGCATAGTCAAGATGGAAATGACTATACAGGCTACAAATGGATGGACATTTGAAGGTAGTAGTTTGAAGTTAGTCCTAACAAATTAAGCCACACTCCCGAGGGGCTGATAAATCAGTATAAGCATCCACTACTTAGTTGCAGCCAACTTTTCTTTCTGATCTAATCAATAAAGGATAAATTTGCCGAATAAATCAGCTGAGGAGTAAAGTAGCTAATCTAATCTAAATAACGGCAGGACACCACAGCACTGAACCATGTCTTACTGCATGAGCACTGAACCTCTATCTGATTAAGAAAAAGGTAAATCTTCTGACTGCACTGCATGTAATCTGCAATATATACAAGTTTCTCTAACCACCATTAAACCAATTCTATGTTATTCCTCTGCAGAGGTCAGAAAAGACACGCTGAGTGCTGCAGGGGTGTGGATGCTATTTCAAGAATAGCAGAACTGACTGTGCTTAAAAATGGCCTTTTAATGAGGGTGTCTAAAACTGTTATGCCACACAGACACAAGGCCCTGGAACACAGCGGCTCAGAGCATTTTTCTGGGCTCAAATTGAGGCTGGTAGTTTGTCACCTGAGAAGTGCCTGGTTCTTTTGGGTTGTATGAAAAAGGACAAGGTCTAGGGAGGGTCGACATGAGCAAAAATCATCAGTCAGTATTGATAATTATCACAATAAATGTCACGTTCATATACTTTTTTAAGTTTAAAGACTGATTTGTGCTCCTGAGTGAAGATTGTGGTTATTCCTTATTTTATTACGCTTTTACGAAGCAGATGTAGATCAATCATGTGTCATATCTCATCAATCTGCTTGCACAGTACAAAAAGCATTAAATCAATCTATATATAGCACTTTTGCTATATTGCTATTGATTAAAATGATATTGCAATCATTTTTGACATGGTTTTATTGCCTACTAAGTTCAATACATTTGATCACACTAATGTTCAGATTTACCTTTGTGGCCCAGCATCAGAGCCAGGTGGAGAGGCGTGTTCCCTAAGAGAGGAGAAAGACAATGAGTACACATCCTTACAAACACCTAATCCCACACACACACACACAAGTAAAGATATGTTATGTTGTGCTTTCCAACAATTTACTCAGAAAAGCAGCGAGGGCACAACTCTCACCGTGCACATCCTTCTGAGAGATGCTGTTGGTCCTGATGAGAGAGGAGAGTCGGCGCACGTCTGCCTTGAACACGCACTCGTGCACGGGGAACTCCAGCTCCTCTTTCGTGAGGATGATAGGGTTCTTGTTGTTGTCATTGACCACGGTGCCGATGGGCGACGCGTTGCCGTTGATGTTGTTCGCATTGAGCTGCTGCTGCAGCGCGGAGGATTTGACGGACTTCTGGAAAGCCCTGTTGGACTTGAACAGGTTGCTGGTGCCGTTGGGGATGGTCTCGTTGGAGGTCTCGTCGTGCGCGTCCCTCCTCTCGTCGTTTTTGTTGGGTTTGTTGTTGTGGTCCTTCCGCAGGGCGCGTATCTTCTCACCTGTCATGATCACTGGACGCGCGCTACCCGGTTCACTAATCACTGAGCTACACGGCTGCTGGGTAAATACAACGAGAGCTAGTCTGCATCAGCAATAGAAGCCAATGTGAGTTAAATCCAGCGTTGAGTGAAGCGCGTTGAATGCCGTTACACCTGCTGCCCGGCTCCCACAGCCAGCGTTAGCCGCCAGCAGTTCTCAAGCTAGCAAGCCCACAATGAAAAATGAATACGATGGGTGCGGCGATGAAAACAGAGGATAATGCTAAACAAAACAAAAGACACGCACTGAATGAAAACGCGGTTATAAATGAGAACAGCCAGCGAACGACTACATCGTCATCTCCGTCATCGGTTTTTCAAATAGCATCGATTCAATTTGCTTTGTGGACAAATTCAGACGCTCCGATGAACCTGCGGAGCTAACGACCCCGCTAGCTGGCTGATATCGCGAGATTGTCCCGAGACCGAACCGACGCGAGTTGGCGCAGTCGCAATCTGGTGGCGTCATCTTTACGCGACGCGGTTTTTTTTTTTTTTTTTTTTTTTTTAGTCAACGAGCAGCTAGCAGCCAGCTAGCTCCACCGTGCGCTACCTGTGCTGATAATGGCACCGCCCAAGAAGGGGAAGAAAGTGGTGAATCAAGAGGAGCTGCGGCGCTTGATGCGAGAAAAACAAAGGCAGACGACGGATAAGAAGCGCGTCGAGTCTCCGTTCGCTAAGTACAACAGTCTGGGCCACCTCAGCTGCGTGCTGTGCGGGGTGCAGGTGAAGTCCGAGCTGCTGTGGCCGGCTCATGTTCTCGGGAAACAGCATAAAGAGAAGGTAGCTGAGCTGAAGGGGGCGAAGAGTCAACCAGCGGCTCCACAGAACCAGCCGGTGAAGAGGAAAGCGCCGGACAGCGAGGACGTCAACGGGAAGAAAGCGAAACCAGCGGCGGTCGCGGGGCAGTCTGCGTCAGGGCTGCCCGGGGATTTCTTTGAGCGACCCGGAGAGAAGGCAGCTGGTTCTGCTCACAAGTCTGCAGGTTTGAGTCTCTTGGCTGGAGTCTATGATGATGATGATGATGATGAAACGGATGCTGGAGAGGCAGCTCAAGCAGGGACCTCAAACCCTCCTCCTCCAAAGGCGGAAGCTGCAGGGCTGCCAGCGGACTTCTTTGACAGCTCCATCCCATCCACACCCACCAACTCCCACTCTGGGTCCATCCTCAAACCAGAAGTGACGGAGAAGAGCGCAGACAAGAAGGACAACACAGCCGAGGCGCTGCCGGAGGGCTTCTTCGACGACCCGGTGAGAGATGCCAAAGTGCGCAAAGTGGAGGCGCCCCAAGATCAGATGGACAAGGAGTGGGAAGAGTTTCAGAAGGAGATTAGACAGGTGAACACTAAATCAGACGCGATTGTAGCTGAGGATGACGAGGAGGGACGCCTTGAGCGTCAGATCGACGAAATCGATGAACAAATTGAGTGTTACAAGAGGGTTGAGCTGCTGAGGGACAAGCGAGATGTAGTGAAAAACCAACCTCTGTCAAGGAGGGAGGAACAAATGGAGACTGATGACATGACTGTAGAGGAAGAGGAGGATGAAGAGGAGCTGCTGGGGCTACTGTCCCGTGACTGGAGGGCTAAGGGGGCACTGGCATAAAGTTCTGTGAAACAATATTTTCAAAGTATTTGAAAGGTATTTTCTTGTAAAAGTTATAAATCTGTAAATATGTTTGTTAATGGATACCCGTGTCGTCTCTTTTGTATATTTCAATCTGGGTTTAATAATGATGAGGTGATTCTGGTAAAACATGAACTTCCACAAGATAAGGCTTCTCACTTTGTGTCTCAAAACACGAGACAAACCACAAACCTTTAAACTTTGTGTTTATTAACTGGTGATCACACAAAAAACACATTCATAAAATCTTTCATGTCAGTAGCAGCATGAACCCAAAGTCACGATGGCAAAAGCTACTTAACATTTTCAGCTCAACCAACCATTGTCCTGCAAAAACAATTTGTTGCTTATGTTAAGTTTAAATTATCTGTCCATGTTACATTATAAGCAACATGCAAAGCACAACAGAATTAACTTTTTTAATGTACAATGTTGAGACTGTAAAATCAATTTACCCCTTTCAAAAGATAATCGGCAGAGAATACGTTTTCACCATTTTTACAGAGTACAACAATGTTTGATTACAACAAACTTGTCATGTAAATAATACACCTTTTGTTAGGTCCATAAAAATGGAATAAATGAATCAAGTAAAGATTGATAATCAGTGCTTAATATACTACCTGTTACACATCGTGAGATAGGTGTGTCGTCTGTCTAATGCAAATTCTATCAAGCAACATCAACGTCTTTTGTTATTGCTACATATGCCTCGTGAGTTACCACTTCAAAATTCTTTCCAGGTGATTCGAAGTGTTCATAGCCCTTCAAATCATTAAAGAACTGACAACTACAACAAGCAAAAAAACAACAACAATTGGACTAAACACACAATCACAACTGTATGAGGATAAATGAGGAAAAACACTAAACAGAAAGAAGAAATCAGAAAGTTGAGATTCTGCTTAGAAAAGAGTATACAAAAGCCTTTAGTCTTATTCTCGACTGTGTGTTTCAGATAAGTTAGGAAATTGTCTAAAAACAAAACCCACCCTCACAAAAAGTCAATTTCTAGTAGTCATTTGTAAACATTCATAAAAGTCTATCCGGGGTTCTATAAATAAGGTTGGTGTGAGTTGTACCAGGTGATGGGTGGGGACCCACTGACATTTACAGCCTCAAGAACCTAAACGCATCATTACATCAAGATGAGACATAGTTAAAAAGAACAAAACACAGGCGCAGGTAACAGCAAGTTTGGGAACAGAATGGAAAAAAGGATTCAAAATAAATCACACTTTCTTTTCATGGGTAATTAAATCAAACCAATAGATTTGCTGAAATAAAAGCTGAATATTCTGCATATGGAGTAGTCTTTAAATGTTAAGATAATGTTTCTGTGGCCAAGATCGTGCTGAGATGGATTGAAGGGGGGGGGGGGGGCATGCCAGCGCCACTGTTCCACAATCAGTATGATAAATATTCAGTTCACAAAAGTGCAGCAATTACAGAAGCGGGTCAAGAACTCCGAACACCCCTGACCCCACTGGGCTTCAATACTGTTCACTGCGGTCTGTGACAAAGTGCTCACAGACCTACAGCAGCTGTCAGCTCCATCAGGGAGTATCTCTGGTCCCTGTCATTGTCAAAGCAGTCCAAGGTATGAGCATCAGGAGTTGATGATCCAAATACTTTATTCAGATCCTGATAAGTTAATCCGTGTAAACTTTGTCCAACGCCTGCCTGCTGGAAGATGTCCTCCAAATCTGTAAATAAAAACAGTTATTTTTATTTAGAATGAAAAGAAAGCAGGTTGTCGACGAGGAGGCTGCACAATTATATAAACAATTCAACTTGTAGCAGTTTGAATAATAGTTGGATATTTTTGGGAAATGCATATATTTGTATATCTGTCCCCCTCATACCTGTGCAATACATTTAAAGCAACACTATATAACTTTTACTGAGCAACGGCGCCCCCTGCAGCCACGTATAGTGTCTAATTCTGTCGGTCTCTGTGTCCGAGCGATGAGATGGTTTTCATGTAGAGAAAAAACCAAGCTCATCAATCTGCTGACTGGAGCTCTGGTTGTGCCTGAGACACAACTGAATGGTAGATATCCCTCATGCTCCTGTGGTGAGGATGAGGATTGAAATTGGAACCCTTGTCTACTGTTTGGCAGCAATATCTTGAAGATCTAATCTTATAAAACTCTGGTCGTCACTGAGCAGTTAACACACAACCTTGCAGACTTTATATCATAGCTTTCTGTTTACAGTACAGGTATCTAACTTGTTATCAAACTCTTGGCAAGAGAGCAAAAAAGCTTTTCTCAAAATGTCACATTGTTGCTTTGACGAATGTCGAGATAAAATAGTGTGCAGTAGTAGTAGTGTGCACCTTTCAGAGAGCTGACACCAGGCAGGGACACCCTCTTTGGGCACCTTGTCTTGTTTTTGAGGGCATGTCTCTTGGAGCGTTTTGGAGTTAAGAAGCGTGGACGTCTGCTTGTGTGCAGCTCCGTCAGTGGTGTGGATATCTCTGTGAATAAGATAACATGTGATAAGAAAATATAAAATTGCAACATGGACAAATCAAGTGACATCCTGCTTTATTTAGCACTGTACCCTGCACTTCTCCAGGTGTTGCTTTGGTCGTAGTGGGTTCCTTCACCGTCTCAGTTGCTGGAGTTTCACTCGTGTTTTCAGGTTGAATTGCTGCGTCATCATCCTTTAACTGTAAAAGAGGTGGACGTTTTTTTCCTCTCAGGCTTGAACACAGTGCCACAAAAGCTCAATTCTTAAAATGCATAGAGTAAGCCTTGACTCACGCTTTGTTTTGGCCCGTTCTCCAATGAGTCCACTCTCTGACGAAGATCTGCCACTGTAGACAGCAGGACATGGATCTGTTCAGCAGTCCACGTGTGGTGCTGCTCCTCCGTCTTGTTAGCCTCGCCCACTTCTTTCCTCAGGTCTCTTAGGTCCTATGACAATTAAAAAAAAAAAAAAAAGTTTATCCACCAAAAGTTTACTGTTTGATGGGATTTCCTGCTTCTAAGACAAGTGCGATAATGATAAATTAAATAAAGGATCAAGTGTCATGTTCTAGACTGATTAGACTGGAAAACAATTAGGAGTGAATCCTTGTTAGAAATTCAATTTAACACTGTACCTCCTAACCTTAAGTAATGAGACTCCAGAGAGCTCAGCCTTCAAGTGATTCACCCCAACATCCCATAATAATTGAGTTCACTGTTTAAAATATATATAAATATACAAGAGTTTAATTATTTGGTCCTCCTCTTTTCCCCATCCTGTTTTGCTTATTAAAAATCAGAAACATTCCACAGAGTTCTCACATAGTTGCCCTAGTTTTACTCAAAAAACTAAAGCCTCTCAGCTTCCAAAAATAGTGTGTCACTTGTTTCATGTATTATGAATAAAAACCCAATGCATCGATCTAAGAGATGACAGGACCCTCTTAACCCAGTGACTCCTTCAATGTCAGCCTGACAAGAACAGCGAAAACACGACAAATCTAGAAGTGGCAAAGTTCACTGCTGCTTTTGGTTTGGATGCATGCAACAGTTACGCAATGAACCCCATCATCAACAGAGTCATCTTTGCCGTATGTAAGTGGATTGGCCTCAATTCTGAGTGAGATAAACATTACGTAAGTACTTAATTAAAGACCAGTAGATCAAGTTATTCAGCTTGTTTGCTTCAGCACGGTGTACTGTTTTGTTTTCCTTCCACACCCCACTCCATACGTTCAAACATGAATGATGAATGGGGAGATAAATAGCCTCGAGATATATCTGCAGAAAACATGGAGAGGAAAATAAAGAAAGACAAGCTGTCAAACAACATAACTTAAATTCAGCTTTAACACAGACTCATGAAAAATCCATCCAGTATGCTCTTGTGAGATCCAGAGCGTGGAGCCCGATGCTACTTACAAAGCAACATAGTTTGTGTTCCTCTGTGATGTTTGTCAGCTGCCCAAAACACTGTATTGACTTCTTAGTAGTTTCACACGCAGTCTGACAAATCTCTCTGAAACGTTCAGGCTGTTTTCACAGACTGCCTCCACTCACAAACGTTGATACATTCTGGGATATAAACGAATGATAGAATGGGCACAATGTGATGTGAGCTGATAAACACATCTAAAGAAAAACAGATCTAAACAAAACACTACTCATCTTTCGAATGCTGGACTACACTTTAAACTCAATCTTCATTTGAACACACTAGAGTTTTGTGATTGTATCATGCACTGGGATGATCTCTGAGACAAAATCTGTCTACAGACATATAAAACACCTGCTAAAGTCCAAAGTGCCCCCTGTCATAGTTCTAAATCCAGGACACCATTTTACCACCCATAGACTCAGCAGGTGTAAACAATACTAGCCCTGCTGTCGCGGCTGGTATTATTAAAAAAAAAATAGTTTGGGGTGACAAAATCTAGTCGAATTTTTCTAGATATACCGAACAATTTCACAGAATTTCAAAAAAATCTGAGAAGAAACATGTATTTCCACCCACAACCATTATGCAAACATTAAGAGTTAGTTCATCAGGATAAACAGTTGATGGCACTAATTCTCCAGAGGTTTTATAGTAGAAGAAGAGAGCACAACAAGTAATAATAATTAAAAGACTGCCAGTGATCCCTTGAGGACATTTAAGTCCCATGCATATTGCATTTTATGATTTACTATCTAACATTTGGCTTTTATTCGCGCTGTAACTATTCCACCTCAGCCAAGCGCAAACATTGTTTATATGTCAACAGAAACAGGGGGATGGAACAAGTGTTCAGTACAATAATAAAACAATTCAATTATGACTGGCTTGTATTTACCGTTGTCTTCTTGGAGTCATCATCACTCTTCTGATTTTCGAGAGCTGACTGCATCGTCTTCACATCGTGCTGGACACTTGTTAGCGTGCTGCCGATTGTAGCAACACTCTGGAAAAGAAAAACACTTTGTGAGGTCAGGTATGAAATCAAAAGCTTTCTCTTTTAAATTGATTTTGCTTTGTCTTTACCTTTTGAAGCTCTTCAACAGTTGTAGGAAGGCTGATCAAATCAGCGGCCGATTTCAAGTTGGCCT